GCCTACCACCACGGCCAGTAGTGGTGCCGGTGCGCACGGAGGAAGTAGCAGTCAGCCAGTGGGAGTAGCGGGGGCAAAGTTTCCTACTCGGTGGTGTGGCAATTTTTCGTCAAGCCGCCCGAGGAAGTAAACGTAGCCGTATGTCGACTATGTGGCCAGAAATGCAAGCGTGGCCAGGGGGCCCATGTTTGGGACTACAGCGTTGCGTCAGCATATGCAGCGTCACCATTCGGTGGCCTGGGAAAACCGTGATAAAGATACGGCGGTTCTGCCTGCCCCAGCCCCCGCTCCATCATCACCCGCTCCGTTACTTGCTCCGTCACCCGACGTCGTCAATCGCCCTCTATCAGCCAGTCAAGGCTCCAACACCTCTGCTGAGGGGAGTTGTCGCTCGTTGGCATCTTCCGCTCGTTCAGATGCTCCTTCTCCTGCTACTCCTCTTCTCGGATTCCGTCAACAGTCTTTCTTGGAATCCGTTTCCAAGAGACAACAGTTTGCGAGCACGCACCCGACGGTGCAAAAGCTGAACGTCCTCCTGTCCAAGTTGCTGGTGCTGCAGTCCCTCCTTTCCAACTGGTGGACTCAGCACCTTTCCGAGAAATGATGGCTTGTGCCGCGCCGCGGTGGAGAGTGCCAAGCCGTCATTTCTTCGCAAAAAAAGGCAGTGCCAGCCCTGCATTCACATGTAGAAGAGATGGTGGGCCAGTCTTTGAGCATGTCGGTCTCTGCCAAAGTGCACGGCAGCGCCGACGACGTGTGGAGCTGTAACTACGGTCAGGGACAGTACATGTCATTTACGGCCCACTGGGTGAACGTGGTGCCGGCACAGCCGCACCAGCAACTTGGACAGGTCACGACGCTTTTGCCTCCACGTTTGCACGTCCTTGGTCCAGCAAAACATGTCCGCCTCTACCACCTCTTTTTCCCGTGTCCTCAGCCGCCACCCCCGTGCCAAGTCCCATTACCCGACCGGCATATCACATGTGCAGGGCGCAACGGTGTCACGCTGTGCTGCACCTGGTATGCCTTGGCGAACGTAGTCACACAGGGGAGGAACTTCTGAGTGTAATGAACAGAGAAATCGACAGATGGCTGTCTCCGCGCAAACTGAAAATCGGAACCATGTTGACCGACAACGGAAAGAACATGGTGTCTGCTCTGCGTCAAGGAAGGTTGTGCCATGCGCCATGCATGGCTCACGTGTTCAATCTGGTTGTCAAGCGGGTTCCTAAAATCCACCATCCCACTGCAAGACATCCTTAAAATGTCACGTAAACTTTGCATGCATTTCAGCCATTCCTACACCGCAAAGAACACCCTCATTGAGCTGCAGCGGCAGAACGGAATTCCACAGCATCGCCTGATCTGCGACGTTGCAACAAGGTGGAATTCAACCCTACACATGTTAGACCGCCTTTACGAGCAGCGAAAGGCCATCACCGATTTCCTGATGTTACAAGCGGGATAAAGGTACTCCCCTGTGTAACTTCGATGTCAGCCATTGGCAGCTCATGCGTGACACCTGCCGCTTGCTCAGGCCCTTTGAGGAGGCCACGCTATTCGTGAGTCGGCAGGACTATGGGATGAACGACGTCATTCCTCTGTTGCACGTCCTGGAACAAATGCTGTTAACAATGGCTGGTCAGGGTGCGGTAGTAGACGTGGCGCACAGATCTCAACGCCACATGACCCCTGTGGGGGCAGGACAGGAAGAAGAGGAGGAGGTAGAGGAGGACATTTGTGCTCAGGAATTATTGAGTGAAATGGGTGGTTTTTCCACTCAGCGGACAGGAGTGGAGGAGCAGGAGCATCTGGTAGAGGAGGAGGAGGAGGAGACAGAGGACCCAGACGCACCGTGGCAGTATGCTGTGGAGATGGAGGCAGGGAGTCCCTCGCATTCCTTGGCACAAATGGCCCATAGCATGCTCGGTTGCTTGCGTAGCGACAGCCGAATAATAACCATCAGACAGAGGGATGACTTTTGGCTGTCCACCTTGTTGGACCCTCGCTACCGTTCCAAAATGGTGGCCTTTTTCACACCTGCTGAGAGGGAGGCCAAAATTACGTACTATAAAAACCACCTATGTAGTCAGTTGGTCTCTGCCTTTGTGCGCCAACGTCCATCCTCAGACACTGTGGGCCCTGTGCGCTCGCGTTCCGCGTTCCGCTGCCATGGCAGCAGGGGGGGGGGGGGTGGGTGGTAGGAGCAGTGGCAGCTCCACCAGCAGCGGCTGCCTCAGTCTGCAGTCGATGATGAGTAGCTTTCTTCACCAGCGCAGTGAGGAAACTACTAACCAGCCGCAGCAGCAGCAGCAGCATCAGGTGGACCTGGAGCAGGAGCTCAAACAACAGGCTTGGGCCTACTTGGACAGCACCCTGCCAACCGAGGTAGACAATCCCCTTGACTACTGGGCAACGAAACTTGACCTTTGGCCCCAACTAGCTGAATTTGCCCTTGAAAGGCTGTCATGCCCGGCCAGTAGCGTGGCATCGGAGCGCGTGTTTAGTGCGGCAGGAGGTATTGTAACTCCGCGGAGGACACGACTGTCCACCCAAAGTGTGGAGAGACTCACGTTTGTGAAAATGAATCAGGCGTGGATTAGTCTGGATTTCAAACCACCAGTTCCTGACACAACTGACTAAATCCGCCATGAATCATGCCCCAAACATGTGCCACTTTCAGGTCTCCTCACACACTGCTGGTGTGTTCCATTTTTTGTCATAGGGTGCTGGCAGATTACGGGCCTCCCATAGCTGCTGCCAGGCCCCAATCTGCCATGGGCCCCTATTACCGCCTCCTCATGCTGCTGCAGGTCCAGAGTCTCTCATGGGTGCCTGTACGGGCCTCCCATTGCTGCTGTCCATCGCCACACTCTGCCATGTGCCCACTTTCAGGGTCTCCTCACACTGCTGCTGTGTTGAATTTTTTGACATAGGGTGCTGGCAGATTACGGGCCTCCCATAGCTGCTGCCAGGCCCCTAATCTGCCATGGGCCCCTATATACCGCCCTCCTCATGCTGCTGCCAGTCCAGAGTCTCTCATGGGTCCCTGTACGGCCTCCCATTGCTGCTGTCTCCATCGCCACACTCTGCCTGCCATCCACTTTCAGGTCTCCTCACACACTGCTGGTGTGTTGAATTTTTTGACATAGGGTGCTGGCAGATTACGGGCCTCCCATAGCTGCTGCCAGGCCCCTAATCTGCCATGGGCCCCTATATACCGCCTCCTCATGCTGCTGCCAAGTCCAGAGTCTCTCATGGGTCCCTGTACGGCCTCCCATTGCTGCTGTCTCCATCGCCACACTCTGCCATGTGCCACTTTCAGGTCTCTCTCACACACTGCTGGTGTGTTGAATTTTTTGACATAGGGTGCTGGCAGATTACGGGCCTCCCATAGCTGCTGCCAGGGCCCCTAATCTGCCATGGGCCCCTATATACCGCCTCCTCATGCTGCTGCCAAGTCCAGAGTCTCTCATGGGTCCCTGTACGGCCTCCCATTGCTGCTGTCTCCATCGCCACACTCTGCCATGTGCCACTTTCAGGTCTCCACACACTGCTGTGTGTGTGAATTTTTTGACATAGGGTGCTGGCAGATTACGGGCCTCCCATAGCTGCTGCCAGGCCCCCTAATCTGCCATGGGCCCCCTATATACCGCCTCCTCATGCTGCTGCCAAGTCCAGAGTCTCTCATGGGTCCCTGTACGGCCTCCCATTGCTGCTGTCTCCATCGCCACACTCTGCCATGTGCCACTTTCAGGTCTCCTCACACTGCTGGTGTGTTGAATTTTTTGACATAGGGTGCTGGCAGATTACGGGCCTCCCATAGCTGCTGCCAGGCCCCTAATCTGCCATGGGCCCCTATATACCGCCTCCTCATGCTGCTGCCAGTCCAGAGTCTCTCATGGGTCCCTGTACGGCCTCCCATTGCTGCTGTCTCCATCGCACACTCTCTGCCATGTGCCACTTTCAGGTCTCCTCACACACTGCTGGTGTGTTGAATTTTTTGACATAGGGTGCTGGCAGATTACGGGCCTCCCATAGCTGCTGCCAGGCCCCTAATCTGCCATGGGCCCCTATATACCGCCTCCTCATGCTGCTGCCAAGTCCAGAGTCTCTCATGGGTCCCTGTACGGCCTCCCATTGCTGCTGTCTCCATCGCCACACTCTGCCATGTGCCACTTTCAGGTCTCCTCACACACTGCTGGTGTGTTGAATTTTTTGACATAGGGTGCTGGCAGATTACGGGCCTCCCATAGCTGCTGCCAGGCCCCTAATCTGCCATGGGCCCCTATATACCGCCTCCTCATGCTGCCAAGTCCAGAGTCTCTCATGGGTCCCTGTACGGCCTCCCATTGCTGCTGTCTCCATCGCCACACTCTGCCATGTGCCACTTTCAGGTCTCCTCACACACTGCTGGTGTGTTGAATTTTTTGACATAGGGTGCTGGCAGATTACGGGCCTCCCATAGCTGCTGCCAGGCCCCTAATCTGCCATGGGCCCCTAATCTGCCATGCTGCTGCCCCAGAGTCTCTATACCGCCTCCTCTGCTGCTGCCCACTGCTGTCTCTCATGGGTCCCTGTACGGCCTACGGGCCTCCCATTGCTGCTGCTCTCCATCGCCCTCTGCCATGCCCACTTTCAGGCTCTGCCAAGGTCCCTCACTCCTCACTGCTGGTGTGTTGACTTTCATTTTTTTTTTTGACATAGGGTGCTGGCAGATTACGGGCCTCCCATAGCTGCTGCCAGGCCCCTAATCTGCCATGGGCCCCTATATACCGCCTCCTCATGCTGCTGCCAGGTCCAGAGTCTCTCATGGGTCCCTGTACGGCCTCCCATTGCTGCTGCTGTCTCCATCGCCACACTCTGCCATGTGCCACTTTCAGGTCTCTCTCACACTGCTGGTGTGTTGAATTTTTTGACATAGGGTGCTGGCAGATTACGGGCCTCCCATAGCTGCTGCCAGGCCCCTAATCTGCCATGGGCCCCTATATACCGCCTCCTCATGCTGCTGCCAAGTCCAGAGTCTCTCATGGGTCCCTGTACGGCCTCCCATTGCTGCTGTCTCCATCGCCACACTCTGCCATGTGCCACTTTCAGGTCTCCTCACACACTGCTGGTGTGTTGAATTTTTTGACATAGGGTGCTGGCAGATTACGGGCCTCCCATAGCTGCTGCCAGGCCCCTAATCTGCCATGGGCCCCTATATACCGCCTCCTCATGCTGCTGCCAAGTCCAGAGTCTCTCATGGGTCCCTGTACGGCCTCCCATTGCTGCTGTCTCCATCGCCACACTCTGCCATGTGCCACTTTCAGGTCTCTTCACACTGCTGGGTGTGTTGAATTTTTTGACATAGGGTGCTGGCAGATTACGGGCCTCCCATAGCTGCTGCCAGGCCCCTAATCTGCCATGGGCCCCTATATACCGCCTCCTCATGCTGCTGCCAAGTCCAGAGTCTCTCATGGGTCCCTGTACGGCCTCCCATTGCTGCTGTCTCCATCGCCACACTCTGCCATGTGCCACTTTCAGGTCTCTTCACACTGCTGGTGTGTTGAATTTTTTGACATAGGGTGCTGGCAGATTACGGGCCTCCCATAGCTGCTGCCAGGCCCCTAATCTGCCATGGGCCCCTATATACCGCTCCTCATGCTGCTGCCAAGTCCAGAGTCTCTCATGGGTCCCTGTACGGCCTCCCATTGCTGCTGTCCAGGAGGCAGCAGGGTCGCTGCATGTGTCAGTGGAGGCAAACGGCCATGGAGTAGTGAGCAGCAGCTCCACTGCAGCCTACCACCACGGCCAGTAGGGTGTCGGTGTGCACGGAGGAAGTACGGCAGTCAGCCAGTCCAGGAGTAGCTGCCAGTGCCCTACTACTCGGCTGGTTGTTCCATGCTGTGGCAAGTTTTCGTCAAGCCGCCCAGGAAGTAAACGTAGCCATCGACTATGTGGCCAGAAAGTCAAGCGTGGCCAGGGGGCCCATGTTGGGACTACAGCGTTGCGTCAGCATATGCAGCGTCGCCATTCGGTGCCACGTTAAAGAGGTCGGTTCTCACTGCCCCTGCCCAGGGTTCCATTTTTTGTCATAGGGTGCTGGCAGATTACGGGCCTCCCATAGGTGCCGCCAGGCATAATCGGCCATGGCCCCCGTACCGCCTCTGGTCACGCTGCTGCCAGGTCCAGAGTCTCCACATGTGTCCCTGTACGGCCTCCCATTGTACTGCCTCCCATGCTTCCACTCTGCCATGTGCCACTTTGAGGTCTCCTCACACACTGCTGGTGTGTCCATTTTTGACATAGGGTGCTGGCAGATTACGGGCCTCCATAGCTGCTGCCAGGCCCCTAATCTGCCATGGGGCCCTATACCGCTCCGTTCATGCTGCTGCCATGGCAGCAGGGGAGGGGTGGGGTGGTGGTCCCAGTGAGTCTCCAGTCGCAGCTCCACAGCAGCCATGTGCACTTTCAGGTCTCCTCACACTGTCGATGATGAGTAGCTTTCTTCACATAGGGTGCTGGCAGATTACTACTAACCAGCCGCAGCCAGCAGCAGCTGCATCAGGGGCCCCTGGAGCAGGAGCCCACAACAGGCTTGGGCCTACTTGGACAGCACCCTGCCCAACCGAGGTAGACAATCCCCTTGACTACTGGGCAACGAAACTTGACCCTTTGGCCCCAACTGCTGAATTGCCCTTGAAAGGCTGCCAGGTCTCCTCATGCCCGGCCAGTAGCGTGCCTCACATGCTGCTGGAGCGCGTGTTTAGTGCGGCAGGAGCCATTGTAACCCCGCGGAGGACACGACTGTCACCCTGTGTGGAGAGACTCACGTTTGTTGTGAAAATGAATCAGGCGTGGATTAGTATTTCAAACCACCAGTTCCTGACACAATGACTGCTCCGCCATGAATCCATGCGCCCTCTGCCATGTGCCACTTTCAGGTCTCCTCACACACTGCTGGTGTGTTCCATTTTTTGTCATAGGGTGCTGGCAGATTACGGGCCCCATAGCTGCTGCCAGGCCAGTAGTGGTGCCATGGGCCCCTGTGCACGGAGGAAGTAGCAGTCATGCTGCCAGGTCCATGAGGAGTCAGGGTCCCTGTAAATTTCCCACTCGTGCGGTGTGGCAACTGTTTTCGTTCAAGCCGCCCATAGGTGCTGGCAAGATTAGCCTCCCATAGTGCGCCAGGCCCCTAATCTGGCCATGGGTCCGTGGCCCGGGGGCCCATGTTGGCTGCTACAGCGTTGCGTCAGCATATGCATGGGTCCCGTCGCCATTCTGCTGGCCATCGCCACACTCTGCCATGTGCCACTTTCAGGTCTCCTCACACAGCCCTGGTGTTCCATTTTTTGACATAGGGTGCTGGCAGATTACGGGCCCACCCATAGCTGCCGCCAGGCCCCAAATCGGCCATGGGCCCCCCTGTACCGCCTCCTCATGCTGCTGCTGGTCCCAGTCTCTCATGGGTCCCTGGGCCTCCCATTGCTGCTGTCTCCCATCGCCACACTCTGCCATGTGCCACTTTCAGGTCTCCTCACACACTGCTGGTGTGTTGAATTTTTTGACATAGGGTGCTGGCAGATTACGGCCCCCCCATAGCTGCTGCCAGGCCCCTAATCTGCCATGGGCCCCTATATACCGCCTCCTCATGCTGCTGCCAAGTCCAGAGTCTCTCATGGGTCCCTGTACGGCCTCCCATTGCTGCTGTCTCCATCGCCACACTCTGCCATGTGCCACTTTCAGGGTCTCTTCACACTGCTGGTGTGTTGAATTTTTTGACATAGGGTGCTGGCAGATTACGGGCCTCCCATAGCTGCTGCCAGGCCCCTAATCTGCCATGGGCCCCTATATACCGCCTCCTCATGCTGCTGCCAAGTCCAGAGTCTCTCATGGGTCCCTGTACGGCCTCCCATTGCTGCTGTCTCCATCGCCACACTCTGCCATGTGCCACTTTCAGGTCTCCTCACACTGCTGGTGTGTTCTGGCTTGTGTTGAATTTTTTGACATAGGGTGCTGGCAGATTACGGGCCTCCCATAGCTGCTGCCAGGCCCCTAATCTGCCATGGGCCCCTATATACCGCCTCCTCATGCTGCTGCCAAGTCCAGAGTCTCTCATGGGTCCCTGTACGGCCTCCCATTGCTGCTGTCTCCATCGCCACACTCTGCCATGTGCCACTTTCAGGTCTCCTCACACACTGCTGGTGTTTGAATTTTTTGACATAGGGTCTGGCAGATTACGGGCCTCCCATAGCTGCTGCCAGGCCCCTAATCTGCCATGGGCCCCTATATACCGCCTCCTCATGCTGCTGCCAAGTCCAGAGTCTCTCATGGGTCCCTGTACGGCCTCCCATTGCTGCTGCTGTCTCCATCGCCACACTCTGCCATGTGCCACTTTCAGGTCTCTTCACACTGCTGGTGTGTTGAATTTTTTGACATAGGGTGCTGGCAGATTACGGGCCTCCCATAGCTGCTGCCAGGCCCCTAATCTGCCATGGGCCCCCTATATACCCTGGTCCTCCTCATGCTGCTGCCAAGTCCAGAGTCTCTCATGGGTCCCTGTACGGCCTCCCATTGCTGCTGTCTCCATCGCCACACTCTGCCATGTGCCACTTTCAGGTCTCCTCACACACTGCTGGTGTGTTGAATTTTTTGACATAGGGTGCTGGCAGATTACGGGCCTCCCATAGCTGCTGCCAGGCCCATATCTGCCATGGGCCCCTATATACCGCCTGGTCCTCCTCATGCTGCTGCCAGTCCAGAGTCTCTCATGGGTCCCTGTACGGCCTCCCATTGCTGCTGTCTCCATCGGAGGCACTCTGCCATGTGCCACTTTCAGGTCTCCTCACACCTGTCTGGTGGTTGAATTTTTTGACATAGGGTGCTGGCAGATTACGGGCCTCCCACTGCAGCCTGGCCATGGGCCAGTAGTCTGCCGGTGTGCCCCGGAGGTGACCTGCAGTCACCAGTGAGGAGTAGCAGGTGCAACTCTTTCCCACTCTGTGGTGTTTTTCGTCAAGCCGCCCACAGGAAGTAAACGTAGCCGTATGTGCTATGTGGCCAGAAAGTCAAGCGTGGCCAGGGGCCCATGTTGGGACTACAGCTGCTGGTCAGCATATGCAGCGTTTGCCATTCGGTGGCCTCCTCAAACGTGATAAAGATACGGGCGTTTCTGCCTCAGGCCCCACCCAGGGTTCCATTTTGTCATAGGGTGCTGCTGGCAGATTACGGGCCTCCCATAGGTGCCGCCAGGCCCCAAATCGGCCATGGGGCCCCCGTACCGCCTGGTCACGCTGCTGCTGGTCCCCCTGTGACCTGGGTCCCTGTACGCCTCCCATTGCTTCCACTCTGCCATGTGCCACTTTGAGGTCTCCTCACACTCCTGCGGTTTTCCATTTTGTCATAGGTTGCTGGCAGATTACAGGCCTCCCATAGGTGCCGCCAGGCCCAAATCTGCCATGGGCCCCCGTACCGCCTGGTCACGCTGCTGCTGAGCCCACAGTGTGACCTGGGTCCCTGTACGCTGCCTCCCATTGCTTCCACTCTGCCATGTGCCACTTTGAGGTCTCCTCACACTCCTGCGGTTTTCCATTTTGTCATAGGTTGCTGGCAGATTACAGGCCTTCCATAGGTGCCGCCAGGCCCCAAATCGGCCATGGGCCCCCGTACCGCCTGGTCACGCTGCTGCTGGGCCACACAGTGTGACCTGGGTCCCTGTACGGCCTCCCATTGCTTCCACTCTGCCATGTGCCACTTTGAGGTCTCCTCACACTCCTGCGGTTTTCCATTTTGTCATAGGTTGCTGGCAGATTACAGGCCTTCCATAGGTGCCGCCAGGCCCCATATCGGCCATGGGCCCCCGTACCGCCTGGTCACGCTGCTGCTGCTGGTCCCACAGTGTGACCTGGGTCCCTGTACGGCCTCCCATTGCTTCCACTCTGCCATGTGCCACTTTGAGGTCTCCTCACACTCCTGCGGTTTTCCATTTTGTCATAGGTTGCTGGCAGATTACAGGCCTCCCATAGGTGCCGCCAGGCCCCAAATCGGCCATGGGCCCCCGTACCACCTGGTCACGCTGCTGCTGAGCCCACAGTGTGACCTGGGTCCCTGTACGGCCTCCCATTGCTTCCACTCTGCCATGTGCCACTTTGAGGTCTCCTCACACTCCTGCGGTTTTCCATTTTGTCATAGGTTGCTGGCAGATTACAGGCCTCCCATAGGTGCCGCCAGGCCCCAAATCGGCCATGGGCCCCCGTACCGCCTGGTCACGCTGCTGCTGCTGGTCCCACAGTGTGACCTGGGTCCCTGTACGGCCTCCCATTGCTTCCACTCTGCCATGTGCCACTTTGAAATCTCCTCACACTCCTGCGGTTTTCCATTTTGTCATAGGTTGCTGGCAGATTACAGGCCTCCCATAGGTGCCGCCAGGCCCCAAATCGGCCATGGGCCCCCGTACCGCCTGGTCACGCTGCTGCTGGTCCCACAGTGTGACCTGGGTCCCTGTACGGCCTCCCATTGCTTCCACTCTGCCATGTGCCACTTTGAAATCTCCTCACACTCCTGCGGTTTTCCATTTTGTCATAGGTTGCTGGCAGATTACAGGCCTTCCATAGGTGCCGCCAGGCCCCATATCGGCCATGGGCCCCCGTACCGCCTGGTCACGCTGCTGCTGGTCCCACAGTGTGACCTGGGTCCCTGTACGGCCTCCCATTGCTTCCACTCTGCCATGTGCCACTTTGAGGTCTCCTCACACTCCTGCGGTTTTCCATTTTGTCATAGGTTGCTGGCAGATTAAAGGCCTCCCATAGGTGCCGCCAGGCCCCAAATCGGCCATGGGCCCCCATACCGCCTGGTCACGCTGCTGCTGGTCCCACAGTGTGACCTGGGTCCCTGTACGGCCTCCCATTGCTTCCACTCTGCCATGTGCCACTTTGAAATCTCCTCACACTCCTGCGGTTTTCCATTTTGTCATAGGTTGCTGGCAGATTACAGGCCTCCCATAGGTACCGCCAGGCCCCAAATCGGCCATGGGCCCCCGTACCGCCTGGTCACGCTGCTGCTGAGCCCACAGTGTGACCTGGGTCCCTGTACCGCCTCCCATTGCTCCCACTCTGCCATGTGCCACTTTGAGGTCTCCTCACACTGCTGGTGTGTTCAATTTTTTGACATAGGGTGCTGGCAGATTACGGGCCTCCCATTGCTGCTGCCAGGCACGTAATCTGCCATGGGCCCCCGTACCGACTCCTCATGCTGTGACGTTGCAACAAGGTGGAATTCAACACTACATATGTTAGACCGCCTTTACGAACAGCGAAAGGCCATCACAGATTTCCTGATGTTAAAAGCGGATAAAGGTACTCCCTGTGTAACTTAGATGTCAGCCATTGTCAGCTCATGCGTGACACCTGCGCTTGCTCAGGCCCTTTGAGGAGGCCACGCTATTCGTGAGTCGGCAGGACTATGGGATGAACGAGGTCAAATCGGCCATGGGCCCCCGTACCGCCTGTTCACGCTGCTGCTGGTCCCACAGTGTGACCTGGGTCCCTGTACCGCCTCCCATTGCTCCCACTCTGCCATGTGCCACTTTGAGGTCTCCTCACACTCCTGCTGGTTTCCATTTTGTCATAGGTTGCTGTATGGCCTCCCATTGCTGCTGCCTCCACCGCCACACTGTGGCTCCAAACACTGGTTTGGCCCCGTGACTGGCCAAATGAGTGAAGTGTGCGGTGATTCTAAGATCGACGGCACTCATCTGCATGTCATACTGACTGACAGTATTATTTCTCTTCCCCAGCAGACTCCAAGGGCATTTAAATTAAAGGTACAGTGTTCTGCACTAATATTAAGTCTCTCTGAAGCCTAGAAACACCCTTTTTTAAGTTAAATTCACAGCGAATATATTCGACTCGAATCGAATATTGTCCACGAAATCGCCGAATCAGTCGAATCAAATTTTTCAATACTTCGCTCATCTCTAGCCAGAACCTTTCCAACCTATGGCATCATAGAAAAAAAAAACATAAGCAATATTAAAAGGTAAGAGAAAATAACTAGAAACAGAAAAATAAGAAAAGCAGTGTAAGATGAGAAGAAATAAAAAGAAAAGAAACAGAAAAAAAAGAAAAGGGGGGGGATATTAGGTCTATAAAATCCTGGGGAGAAGACAAGTGATAGGACATCCAGAAAATGTGCACTATGACCAACATACAACTGAATGCCAAATCACCCTGTCTTCAATTTATCATAGTCTTCAGAGAGTTGAAACAGAAACCAGGCGGTCCATGTTTTATGAAATTTCTTTGGCTACACCCATCATATCTCCCAAGTTGTAAATATGATCTATGGAGCATATCTAGTCTGTAATGGAAGGTACAGTGTACTCCCACATTTTTAAAATTAAAATTAAAAGTCAAAATGGAATTACCTTGTCACAATGATGCGATCTGCATCTGCATGAAGAAATTCTTCTAGTCTGGATCTCACATCAAGGTAAAGTAGACAGCAAAGGTTACAAATAAGATATATTTTCTATTTAGCATAATTAATGACTTAATCATTCACCTAAAAGGAGAACTACACTTTTATTGAAAAAAAAAAAATTAAGCCCAACATATAAAATTGCTACACACGCCATTTTGTAATTCAATATAATTAAAAATGATCTTTTCATTTCAATGTGAAGTCACTGGATTTTCTAAAAAAATATAAAAAAATTCAATGCATAATGGCAGCCTGGAGGTGTTCAGTACAATGTTGAGGTATAGAATACCCACAAAAATGT